GAAAGGAAGTCCCGCCACAAACCGGCGTGAACTTTGTCTTCCTTTTTGAGGCGGTGAGTCCAGAGGGTGAGGTCCGAAATGATCCCCTTAAGTACATCAATGGGAGGGGTATCAACATTCCTAAAAGTTTTAGCATTACGAGCATCCCAAATCTTCCAAGTGATAAGGAACACCATGATAGGCCAAATGGACTCGGGGAGTCCTACATGAGTAGGGGAAGTCCAAAGCGCTGCAATGGGGGAAGAGCAAGGGAGAAAACCAATGGCATCCGAAATGGAGCGAGCTGCCGGGCAGTTGAAGAGATGAGCACGGTCCTCTGGCGCGGCCCCACATCGAGGGCAGGATGGTGAGTCGATGATCGTCTTGCCGTGAAGGTTGGCCCTGATGTTTAGCCTGTCGATGTAGAAGAGCCAGCCGAAGACCCGCACAAGGTTGGACTGTGCACATTCACTTGTCTAGTTTTCTGGTATCCATTCGCTTTCCAAACAGCACCTAATTTCCGTGCCTTTTTTATTCTAGCCCCTGATAACATAATACTTCCTCTTTTTTTCAGACCACGTGTATCCAGAAAATTCAGACAATACAAAAACACCTGATGCCACACTGCCTGCACCTTCAAAAAGAACTTTGGTCCCGGACGAGGCCTCAGAGACAATGGCATGGCAGGAGCATGCCGAGTTCTTGATATGAAGGACAACAAACTGTATCCACAGGGAACTCCGCGCTGGAGGAAAATCATGGGCCCAACTTTTGAGGTACAAACCATAGTGTGGCCTTCTCCATCTTCGAGTAAATTGCACAAAACCACCACTTTGAAGGCAAGGTTTGCGAAAACCACTACAATACATTTTTTTTGCAGAAAACACCATGTCTTCGGTAATCTTTTTGCAAAAGACACTGATCGGCAGATCGGGCTCAGTTAAGTGAGTTTATAACAGGTGGGGCCTGTTTTTTGCCTTCGTGGCATGACCTTTTGTGCCAAGTAGATTTTAATCTAAAATTACAAACTAGACACTAGAATTTTACATAGACACCCCTAAATCAAAAACGAAAAAGCAATTAGCCCCCGCTTCGACCACCCAGGGCCGAGATGCGGTCAGGGCGAAGCAGAGGGGTGCGGCGACCTGGCGGCCGGGCGCTGGCGAAGCCGGCCGCGCGGACAGAGCCGGGGCGACGCGGGAGGGAGCCGGCAGCCGGCGGTGGAGCAGGCGGCCACGGGCGCACCCAGCAGGCGCGGCACGCGGAGGCGGAGCAGGGCTGGCCGGGGAACCGGCCACGCGGGCAGGCGGACGCCTGCGAAGGGCGCGGACAAGGGGCTCGGCCCGGGTGGAGCCGGCGTGCAGGAGGAGGCAGCGGCAAGTCGGACGACGCGGGACGCGGAGCCGGCGCGGAGCAGAGGCGACGCTCGCGGGCCGGGATGCGGGCGCGAGCTGATCTGGGGACGTTGGAGGCCGATTTGACCGGATCCGGTGACGGGCGACGACGGCGGCGACCTGCATCCTGGGGAGGGAGCGGCGGCGGCCTGCATCCTGCGGAGGGAGGCGGCGGCGGCTTGCGTCCTGTGGAGGGAAGCGACGGGCTGCAGCCATGGAGGTAGAGGCGGCGGCCCGCGTCCTGCGTAGGGAGCGTCGGCGGCCGTGGAGGGAGCAGTGGCGGAGTCCTGCGTCGTGCGGAGGGAGGGGCGGCGGTGGCCCGTGGAGGGAGCAGCGGCGGGCATGCTAGTCGGTTGCGGAGCCCATGGGGAGGGTCTGGGCTGCATGGGGAAAAAAGTTGAGGGACTTTTTTTCTTTAAACCCAAACCGTTACGCCACGTAAGCAAAAACAGGGACCCATCTGTCATAAACGCGCTCAAACGACTCTAATCCGCCGATCAGTGGTTTTTGCAAAAAGATTACTGAAGACATGGTGTTTTCTATAAAAAAAATGTATTGTAGTGGTTTTCGCAAATCTTGCCTTCAAAGTGATGGTTTTGTGCAATTTACTCTCCATCTTCAGATTCCATACATGAATTATGCTCATGTGTAAGACATGCCCATTCCTTAAATTTGATTTTGGTTTACTGTCTGCTGATGGTTCCTGCAGGATGAAGTCCTGTATCAAAGACAAGCTGCCTAAGTGGGAGAGGATCAAATGGATGTTCCATAAGAAAAAACTGAAATTCAACCTGGAAGAATGCAAGAAGGTAAGTCAAACAACTGATACTAAAAATGCATGCTTATTTATTTCTACCATGCATTTAGCAGATCAGTAAAAATGTGGATCTAATTCTGTCTGAAAATCTTGTCCCTTTTCCAGCCACCAGTTTATGATTCCACCAGTTGTCGACAAATGATGGTGTGCTTACGAGGTCGACATCACTGCAAAAACTCTATACATAATAGACCCCATGCTAGCATAGTCACCAAGGAGTACGATAGAGAAGAAACACAAAGACACAAGCCTGCGCATTCTACGCGTCTTCTTTCAGTGCCTTCATGAGTGTTATCCAGATTGGGCGTTTTGCTACTTCCCCAAGGACTTTAGAAGTATAACAATGCCTGGCATCAGAACTGCACCATGTAAGTTGCCCAAAATAGAACTTATGAACCTCAAAATTTTGATACATTCATCTGTGTGCAAAGAACTGATGATTTAGTACCTACTAAAAATATTCAGTTCTGAGCATACTACGCTACTCCTACATCAGAGAGTTCGATAGTCTGAAGCTGATAACACTGCCAACCCCGGTAAGTTGGCAAACCTTTTCATTACTATTGAGATCACAAACATACAGTTACTAATAGACATGCTCCCTGCAGGGTTTGATTTCATACCTAAGATCCAGATGGCGTACGAGATATGAAAGGCAACAAGGCCGACTTCCTATTATATGTATGATAAGCGACACTTGTAGAAGCGGTCGCCGGCGAACTGGCCACGCAGTCCGGGCAATGGATTGAAGGCAGGGCCACCGGATCTGCATCTTGGTTGGCGTTCGTCATGAACTGCAACTAGGGTTCCTCGCTCGATTTGGGGGGAGTGAGTAAACATGGCTGTGCGGGATAGGGAAATACTCCGTTTCCTACCATCTAATTCTGTCGAGTAAACATGGCTGTGCAGGAGTACGTAATAATTGCTCCGTTTCCTACCATCAAACGGGGCTGCCGCTCGTAAACGGCGAGACTAACGTCACTTAATTGCTCCGTCACAACCCAAACGTCCGTCCAGTGACGACCTCGGTATATACGCTCCTATTGGATAGGCTTTACTACTGCATACAGCTGCTCTACCACGTACGGCCCACATCCCGATAAGTATTCAACGATTCACGATATCAGGAGCGTGCGCGCTTGTCCGCGCCCAGCAATATTCGGTATATACGCCCATGGTTGGCCTCCGGTGAGAACAAAATAAATTGATGCCTGCGTTACAAACACGAGCCAGTCTGAAAAAATTGAAATATGTATATCCTTTATTTGAAAATGAGTATACTTATATATACTTTTATAACTGAAGAGCATGATGACACTGCATTGGGAGGATGCTGTGCATATGGGCGAAGCGGCAGCGCGAGGAACATCCTAAGCATCGCCGGGCTTGACCGGATCTTCGGTGGGGCCACTCGCATTGTCTACCACGAATAGCTCCTTTTGTGTTGCTTAGTCGGTTCTTCGGCCGTTGCATTTTCTCCTATATCCGTGCATGCGACATTTGTTTGATTATGCATTGATATCACATGGCCTAATTTTGTGTTACAACCATAAAATAGACTCATTTCTATAATTGATCTACTCAAGACATGATTATTATTGTAGTTTATTTCACTGAATCACAAGATATATTTTTGGTTGATCCATTGTGACTGGATAAAAATCAGGATTAGAATGTTACAAAGGATTAGCTGCTGCTTTTTATTTCAAACGACAACATGTGGCACCAAAAAAAGTGACTGAAAAAAAATTAGGCACATGTAGCATTGATATCATGCCGATGTAACCGTGACTATTTTTATTTCAAACAACAACAGTCATGTTGTACTATGTTGCATGCAGGTGCAGCTGAGATATCAATGTCAGAACCTAAGCAGGGTTTGATTGCAAGGGGGTGTAACTAAAGGTGTTCGATCGATCCGCTTCTCAGGCTGAAAAAACAAGACACCTCCAAACCGAAACCTTCCATGAAAGTAACCACTTGAGGTGACGGGAAGCAACATAAAGCACTATTGGGCCACGAGAGCTGCCTGACACCAAATTAACCTCGATGTATGTATATATAAATCGGTGCACTCTGCCCCCACAGTTTCTTATCACAAACGGGTCGAATAGCTAGGTAGCTACCATGGAGAGGAAGGCGGTGTGCATCTCTCTTGTCATCTTCGCGCTCGTATTGTTCGCTGGCCCGGACCCAGTGGCCGCGGCGGTCTACAGCGTGGGCGAGGTGGTGATGCCAATGTCACCGTCCTTGAGGCTGGAGGACAGCGTGTCGCCGGAGCTCGGGGTGGACCTGGACGTGCACCGCCGCGTCTTCGGCGACGTCGGCAAGGGAGCCCTGGACCCCAACAAGTCAGCCTGCAAGCCGAAGTGCGCCGGGGACGGACAGCCGTACACCGGCCGGGGATGCCAAGCCATTTACGGTTGCGTCCCTAAATAATCTGAATGAATAGGCCTGCACTACCGGCGTCAATGCAACCTCATTGGGCCGTGTTCGGTTGCCAGGGAATTGAAAGGGATGTAGTGATATATGCCTTGATGGCCGTGTTATTGTTGGTGGTGATTTTTCTACTGATCAATGTGCTTCAATGGCCCAAGAAGCTCTTGTCCAGGGGTGTACCCAAGTTGAGCTACCCGGGTGCACAGAACACCGGGTGCAAAATGCTTTCTTTGTAAGTTTCATGCAAAATATAGAGTGTGGCACGGACGCGGAGTATGTGATCACGGGCTCATAGGGTCTCGGAATCACACCCGTCCAGGATAGCGTTATGATTCGGTGAATTAAATGAAGCTGGCAGAATGCGGGGCCACGTGGGACAGGAAAATTCCCTGTGGCAGATGATTCTCCACGGCAGATGATTCTCCAACGTGGACGGGCGGAGCAGCTGTCCAGCGTGGAGCATTGGCCATGCCCTTACACGACCGGATAAACACCTGAAAGCTGGGCCCTGGCTGCACGGACGTGCGGACGGCGTCGACGGAGCGAGGCCGAGCCGTGGCTCGAGACGTCGCCGGCGTCCTGGTCCGTGGATCAGATCCGGTAGCGCCGGCAGTCGACGCAGTAAATGCGATTGGTGGGCCGCTCGGGGGATGGGGCACTGGATTTGGATCTAGCATTCTTCCCCAGGCGGCGAAGCGGCGGGGAAATCTACTGCGGCGAAGGCGATTTGGCAGTCCAGCGAGCTCGAAGGTGCTCGGGCAGCCATGGAGTTCTTGATGCAGCCCATAAGCAGGTTTGAATCTCCTCGATGAACTCCTCGTTTGCTTGGTTGGGATCCAGTTTTTGCCACTGACTGTGATACTGTGGCCACAAAAATTTGTGGGGATTTTCTAGGACACTGCTAGAAGAGATCAATGATAACAATAGCATGATGGAGACTGTGCGGGTCCTGGTCGTCGCGGCCGCGGAGGTAGAGTTGGCAGCACCGGCGGCTTCCAGCGCCGACAGGCAAATCTGTCTTGAAGCAGCCAGTGCAAAGCCTGCAGGTGCAGATGGGGCTGAATGCTCAGAGCACTCCATAGAGCAGCTGGACCCAAAAACACCGGGCTGGGCGCAAAGGTACGAATATTGCATCTAAGAATAATTGGTCAATGATAGTTCTGAAGGAAAATCACGGGTGTCCTCTGTATGGAATAGAGCAGATTTCGGCAGTTTTTCTTTTCAGATGTTTCGTTTATTTGTATACATAGGCAAACTGGTGCATATGAAGCTAGTAGTAATTCAATTAAAACAAGAACACATCCGAGGCTATGGTATAAGTTAATTGTGTTAGGGAAAACAACAGTAAACTGCAGAGAAGAACACAGATTTCCCAAATGTGCAATGCAGAAACGATGCATTATGAGCCTGTGGTTTAACTGAAGTTTGTTAAAGAAAAATAGCAGTACACTGCAGATAATAAATTTGATTTACCTAACCTGTAATGCAGTGATGATTCATTTTTGAGTATGGATTGAATTGAGAGGATGGCTGAATGATTCTTTGCATATAATCTGTAATGGATTGCAGAGTGCGTGTCAGTGCTGCTGCTCTAGGTAGGGCTCCTTGCCCGGACAGGGTTACAGCCCTGGAGAAGACTGTCTGACAATTTGCAAAGGAACCCGAACCAGGAGACATTGTCATTGTGCCAAAGATAGGAACAAGTTTGGACACACTTGGCGAGGCGTACGACTTTTACAATTTATACTTGTGGGAGAAAGGATAGATATGGAAAAAGCAGGCTAAATGTCAACCGGACGAAATGCATGCTGGAGACAGTCTGTGGATGTGCGGTATGACTAGAGCTATAGCATTTCAAGAACAATGATTAGTAGTTAACTATGAGGGATAATTTCTTTGAACTGAACTGATTATGCCTTCTTATTAATGTTGACAGGGGAAGCCAATAATTGAAGATACTCGTTCTTGCCACTGTGAATGCCCTGCCCTCATAAGGTTGTTGCAGTCAAAGGACAATGGTTGGTATATAGCTGAGCATCGAGAAGTGCACAACCATGCACTGTCACAGACATTTTTTTTTGATAAAAGAGAGCATTCTCTCCGATTTCCATTAAGAGAAATC